TCTCTGTCCAGTTTTCCCAGCATCACTTTCTGAAGAGACTGTCTTTATTCCATTGGATATTTTTTCTTGCTTTGTCAAAGATTAGTTGGCCACATGTTTGTGGGTCCATTTCTGGGTTCACTATTCTGTTCCATTGATCTGAGTGTCTCTTTTTGTGCCAGTACAATACTGTCTTGATGATTACAACTTTGTAATACAACTTGAAGTCCAGTATTGTGATGCCTTCTGCTTTTTTTTTTTTTTTTTCAAGAGTGCTTTGGCTATTCAGGGTCTTTTCTTGTTCCATACAAATTTTAGGATTGTTTGTTCTAGCTCAGTGAAGAATCCTGGTGTTATTTTTTAGGCGTTGCATTGAATATGTGCATTGCTTTGGATAGTATTGACATTTTAGCAATATTTGTTCTTCCTATTGAGGAGCATGGAATATTTTTCCTTTGTGTGTGTGTGTGTATGTGTGTGTATTCTTCAATTTCTTTCATAAGCTTTCTATAGTTTTCAGTGTGTAGATTTTTCACCTCTTTGGTTAGGTTTATTCCTAGATATTTTATGGTTTTTGGTGCAATTATAAATGGGATCGATTCCTTGATTTCTCTTTCTGTTGCTTCATTGTTGGTGTATAGCAATGCAACCGATATCTCAACATTGATTTTATATCCTGCAACTTTGCTGAACTCATGAATCAGTTCTAGCAGTTTTTTGGTAGAATCTTTTAGGTTTTCCATATAGCATATCATGTCATCTGCGAAGAGTGAAAGTTTGACCTCCTCCTGGCTGATTTGGATGCCTTTTATTCTTTGTGTTGTCTGATTGCAGAGACTGATTTCCAATACTATGTTGAATAACAGTGGTGAGAGGAGACATCCCTGTCTTGTTCCTGACCTTAGGGGGAAAGCTCTCAGTTTTTTCCCATTGAGGATGATATTAACGTTGGGTCTTTCATATATGGCTTTATGATCTTCAGGTATGATCCTTCTATCCTTCCTTTCTTCAAGGTTTTTACCAAGAAAGAATGCTGTATTTTGTCAAATGCTTTTTCTGCATCTGTTGAGAGGATCATGTGGTTCTTGTCCTTTCTTTTATTGACATGATGAATCACATTGATTGTTTTGCAGTTATTGAACCAACCCTGCATCCCAGGTATAAATCCTACTTGGTCGTAGTGAATAATTTTTTTAATGTATTGTTGGATCCGGTTGGCTAATATCTTGTTGAGGATTTCACATTCCCTTTCTTTGACAAGCAAGTAATTGGCTTTCACGTATCTAAATACTTTAATACATCTAACTTATTCTCTTTTTCATTACCTCCCTAAACATAGTTTCAGAAGTGCAGTTATTGGATTAAATTCTGAGTATTTGAATACATCTTATGTAGTGCCTAATTGCTTTCCAAAATATGCCAAGTTACCTTTGCAATGAACAAACCACCCATTGCTATCACTAGTTATTATTTTAATATCACTGTGCTAACTGCTATAAAAAAAATTTTTTAATCTGAAATACACAAAAAAAACCCACCCCAAACTATGTGAACTAGAAAATTGCTCCCCTCTCCACACAAAAACAACCCAACAACCCTGGACTCCAAAGTTTCTAAAATGTGAATAATTAATATTGAAGGGTACCTCATTATCTCTTTTTAAGTATCATTCACTATACAGTGAAAATAAATATTCTTTATTTACTGGTTTTATTTCCTTTCTTGAAAATTGTTGGTTCCTTTTACCAATTAATTATTAGTGGTTTGATATTTCCTTATCTGTTTTATAAAGTCTTTATATACTATAAAAATTAACCCAATATCCATTGTATTTAAAGCAAAATTTCCCTGTTTTCCTCTTCATTTTAATTATTATTTTTCATTATATAGAATTTTGCCATAAATTTTCACATAGTTATATCTCTCTCCTATGACTCTTTTCATTACTCTTGAACTTGGAAGATCATCACCTGAAATATTATCTGATTTTTAAAAAATTAATCTAGAATATTTTTTTATGGGCTCACAAATAACAGAACTAGGCAAATGCCTGAAGATGGTCTGGGAGTAAGAGATACTTGTTTTTTCTATTATTATCATAGGTCGGTTATACATAAAATGGATCTATAAAAACATAAGTGCCAATATCAATTTCATATGGGATATGTATTAGTAATTCATGGAACAATGTAAAAATTAATAGGGTCACCGTTATGTAATTACTAATTTCTATTTGTTCAGTATCCCTACGTTTCCCAGATTTATTAACTAAAATGGTCATATATTACTTAGAATTTGTAAATGCAAGCTAACACAAACCAGACAATATGGGAAGTAAACATCCTGTAGTCCTCACAGAAATCATCATATTTCCAGCACTGACATATAGTACAGTGCTCTTTTGTTTTCTTCAGTTTTGTTCTTTAAATGAATCTAGAAAGAGATACATTCGTTTATAAAGAAAGCTGTTTATTTATTTACCGGGTTTCCTTTTGGTCCTCGTTCACCTTTGATACCTGGGTTTCCATGTGTACCCTGAAGGCAAAGGGAAAAATGATTGCATTAAGCAGGCATTATATTCGTTTTTTACACATTACAATAATTTCTGATCAGCTCCATCCCATAAAATGGGGGAAGACTGTAAAAAAACTTGACCTACCAAGCAGAGATTTACCTGTATTCTCTCTTTTACTACAAACAAGGAAGACTGCACTGTCTTGAAGAGGTAGATTCTCTAGATTTGCTCAAAAGAGGACAATGTCTCTCCCTCCCTAATATCCAAGGGATAATCTCAAAGATGAGAGAAGAGGGGCAACCTGGGTAGCTCAGTCAGTTAAACGTCCTACTCTTGATGTCAGCTCAGGTCATGATCTCGCAGTTTGTGAGATCAAGCCCCATATCAGGCTCTGTACTGGCAGCATGGAAACTTCTTGGGATTCTCTGTCTCCCTCTCTCGCTAACCCTGTCCTTCTCTCTCTCTTTCTCTCTCTCTCCAAATAAAGAAACTTAAAGAAGAAGAAGAAGAAGAAGAAGAAGAAGAAGAAGAAGAAAAGATGAGAGAACTGGCACAAAAAGAGACACTCAGATCAATGGAACAGAATAGTGAACCCAGAAATGGACCCACAAACATGTGGCCAACTAATCTTTGACAAAGCAAGAAAAAATATCCAATGGAATAAAGACAGTCTCTTCAGAAAGTGATGCTGGGAAAACTGGACAGAGACATGTAGAAAAATGAACTTGACCACTTTCTCACACCATACACAAAAACAAAC